CTCTTAACATTCTATGATTCTATGAAACCTGAAACGATTCCCTGACAATCCCCAAAAAAGAAGTGTTGAGTACAGAGAGTTGATAAAGAAAGAATGATGGAAGAACACAGATCACATCACCAAATGAAGACACATGTATCAGTGACTCTGGATAAGAAGGAACACAAACCTTGTATATTTGGGACTCAAAATACCAGCAAATTCAGAGCTCTCTCCACCTCAGTAAGCTGAAATCAGGCCAGATATTGTTCTCATTGGAACCTGCTCTGGCTCCTTCAGCTGTGAATCCAAAAGGGTGATAGAGCAAGAACAACAAATATTTTCACGATGGTACAATTGTTCTGGGACAAGTGCAAGGAGAACAATGACATCTAACTGAGCCTGACTCCATAACACTCAGCACTCTCAGTATTCCCACTCCAGACCTATGGTTTATTTCTTCTTACCATTTAAATTACTTCAAACTCCTTTCACAACCTCTGGCTGCCAAAAGCTGGTCCCAGTTTGGTCCCAACGTTAAGTGTCATGGAAGTTTACTCAAACTTGTAGTCTCTTCAAAAAAATCTTACAGTCTAGTGAAATATTTTACTTTGAGGGGAAAAAATGGTTTATTATGTGAATTTAGTGACCAGAAGAATAGTGCTATGCTGATAACGGGTATGGGAAACTGCAAGGTTTATAGAGTAGAATCATAAGACTCCTAGCATGGTTTGGGTTGGAAGGGCCATCTAGTTCAACCCCGTTGTCACGGGCAGGGACATCTTCAACTCCATCAGGTTGCTCCAAGCCCCATCCAACCTGGCCTTGAATGTTTCCAGGAATGGGGCAGCCACAACCTCTCTGGGCAACCTGTGCCAGTGTTTTACCATCATCACTGTAAAAAAATTCTTTGTATCTAGTGTAAATCTACCCTTTCAGTTTAAACCCTGAAAGAAACAGCAGTACTTCTGGGTTACTTGCTGCAAGGAATACAGGCAAATTTCTGTGTCTAAGTCTGCTGTCACCCTGCTTGTTCTTGTTACTTTTTAGCTTTTGCTAACTGACACCTGAGAGTTAACTCAATTCATGGTGGTTTTACACATCTGCAAAAGGGCAAACACACTTGTGTTCAGGACTGGGACATGGGAATACACATATCTGTGCCTGAAATCCTCTTGATCACAAGGGTTTCAGAAGCAAAAGAATTTCTGAAACATTTAAAATATCCCATAAAACCCCTAAGACACTGGCAGGAAGGCAGACTTTTAGGGAAACCAATTAGCTTATTCCCAGAAGTTAGGGCATGTCTGTTAGAGCCATGTACACTATGAGGAATAACATGCAAGCTCCAATTTCACTGCCTCAAACCTGCTGCTATTTTGCTGTGAAAAACTACTCACACATTTTGTGTAGTTGCCATGGATACACAGGGAAAGGCTCCTAAAAGTTCCAAAACTAAGTGTGGGTGCTGGAGCTCAGAGACCCTGTCTGGAAAGCACAATGGCAGACAGCAGCCCACTCCAAAGAGTCAGCCTCTGAGTATCCATCACTTGCAAGGAATACCCATGGGCACAGCAAGATCAAACCTGCAGCTATGAATCCCAGCTGCAAACACAGGGACAATCCTTCACAAGTCAAAGGACACCTTATTTGCCATTCCAAATGCAAATCCTGCCCATGGCTTTTGCTAGGGCAAAGGAGGCAGCAGAGAATCATGTAAAATGAATAATGGTCCAAAAATATTCGGAAAATTTTCAGGGACATCTTTTCTTTTTCCTCATGGATAATGGATGAGCCCTGAGGTGGCAGTGATTTTCAGCAACTAACAACTCAGACCTGGACTGGGATCAGTAACCTAATTACAACATACATTTTGCTGCTTTCATGAGCTATTCAAGTATTGTAAGAGAAACACAAAATGCTTTGTGTGAGTCTGATTAGCCCAAACTGTCAGTGGTCAATTCCAAAAGCATATCCTCACTTAAAAATGGTAGTTCTACCACAAATTAAACTATTATAGCCATGAGTAAAATTAGGTTCCACATTTGTACTTTCCAAAATATCAAAGGCATGATTAGCAAAGTCTTTTGTTTAAGATCTCTAGAGTCCTGCAGGTAACGAAAACTGGGTCAAGGAGTAGTTTCTCTCAAAGTTTAAAGTAAATGCTGCGTTCATGCAGTACCTGTTTCTGTGACTCATGGGGTATTCAGCCTAGAGAATAGAACTACTGTACCAACACACATGTACCAACAGTAGTACCCCTGCCCTCACCAGAAAAGAAGGAAGGGGAGGGAAAGAAAGGCAGAGCAGATGATTTTGACCAGTTTCCTGTTACGATCCCTTGAAAGAAATCCAGCTGTACTTTCACCCTGCTTTCTGTTTGCTGAATTTCTCCTGACAGTTGGCTCTTGCCTTTGCCAGAACCACAACAAAGGATGGCCTTGAGTTTCCACACAGGCCATTTTCTCCCTCTCTCCTCTCTGATCATCTCACAAAGGTATTATTGTTGCTGGCTCGCTGGGGCTCAGTGCACCTGAGGCACATCAAAGGCACTTTTTCATGGCCGCCTGACCACACAGGTCTCTCTCCCACTGCATTAAATTAAACCTGATGATTAATCTCTGTAGCCCTGAGGGTCCCTTGGTGCACAGAGAGAGAGAAAATATATATTTCTATCAAAACACAAGTATAATATACTTTCATTTTATAGCCCTAATTAAAAAAAGGAACAGCTAATTTCAGCCAAATGCAGCTGCATATAGGCCTCATTAAAACAAAAATACAACTGCCCTGTGTGCTCTACATTCCCTTCATGCAGGCTATGCAGGTAATAGATAAAAGAACAGTAAACCCAAGTCCTTTCACAGATTAAATCCAGAGAAGTTCAGAATTTGCTTATTGTCTGCTGGCTAGAGATTGTTATACCTCTGTGCAGATGAGTGAAGGAAAGCAGTTAAGGAAATGATTATAAAATGCTGGCTAGTTACAGTTAAATAAAAATCTACTTAAATCTAGCCAGAAACTGCACAGCATCTATTCCTGAGTTTGCATTGAAGGGATTAAGAGCCTTAAAAGGTTCTACCTTGTGCAGACTGTGTATGACTTTGGGGTTGCTGTAATGGCAGAACAGAACGCTGACTAGCACCAACATGGAGTTATCCTTCAGATAAAGAGATTCGAATTCAGATTAGATATTAAGAAAAAACCTTTCCCTGTTAAGGTGGTTAGGCATGGGAATACATTGCCCAGGGAGGTGGTGGAGGCATCATCCCTAGAAGTGTTTAAGATGCATCTGGATCTGGCAATGGAACATATGGTTTGGGGTTACAGTGCAGTGACAGATCAATGGTTGGACTCGATGATCTTAGAGGTCTCTTCCAACCTTGATGACTCTATGATTCTGTGTCACCTTTGTTACATCAGTACATTTCATGGAGCCACATCTCTCATGGTGGTGGAGTATGCTCACAGAAGGTACTGTGGAAGTGTTTAACCTGCTATGCCATGCTCCAGCTTGGGAAGCATAACAATTTATAGTCGTGAATTGGGTCTATGTTAGAACTTACTAATATACAAATATTAAAAATTAATAAATAACCACGCACATATCCTCCTCCAGGGCTGGTTATACTAAAGCAATAAGCTAGAGCTAGTTGGCCCATTTCCTGCTACTCAATGTTGCCCTCAGACCTTTTGGGGAAAATGTCTGTGAACTCCTCAGCTCATTTCAGTACAGCATTACATCCCTATTAACTTAACTCATTTTAACAATTTAAACTAACTCAGCTAAATGAAACAGGTTAGGAAGAGTTCACTCAAAATGCTTCTACTGAAATGCAAGAAACCTCCATCAAAAAAGCTGGAAATAATATAATCAGGCTTGAAATGTGACTTCTTCCCCCTGAGCTGGTACCTGCAGGGTGCCCCACCTGACCAGTGACAGACAGAGAGGTGCCAATGGCATTTTTCAGGGACAGAATAAGCTAAGAGTGATGGAGTTTGAGGTCTGAAACTTTTGTTTAGGAAGGAACCAAACCATATTCCAGTTGGTCTACAGGGTGTAAACTCTTCTTCACAATAGTGGGATTATTTATGTCCTTAAATTCAATCATGTGCTGAAATGCTTTGCTGAACGACAATCCATGTGACAAGATCAC